CTCACCTGGCACAGGGCTCACCTGGCACAGGGCTCACCTGGCACAGGAGACTGAGCCGGGCGGGAGAGCCGCCCGCGTCCCGCCCTTGGTCTCGCAGTTCTTGCCTGAACAGCAGCGGGGGGGACTTGTCCCTTTGGTGCCGTGGCTGAGGGGGGCGGAGGCTGAGCCGCCCGGGAGGGATGCGGTGGCAGCAGTGTGGCAAAGCCGCCTGTGTCCTGAGGAGCAGGGACCACTCCTCACCACGTTATAGCTGGTACCACCCCGCTGCCAGCAGCGAGCCCGACTTTGGGTATTAAATGATTAATTGGATTAATGGACTTTGAAGATGAAAGACGCAAAGTACAATTGCATAATACATATCCAGCTCAGGTTTAAAAAGTGAAATGAGGGCTCTTAAAAAAGAGCACAGAAGCTTCCCGAAGATAATTATCAACCAATTTCAAAGTAAAAGTGTTTTTCTCATGGAACAATGATTAGTTTGGATACAAGTGATAAAGAAGTAGGCCCATCGTTTCCCTTGCCCACAAAGCTAACTGCAGGGAAAGCAGGTGCTCCTTGCTCAAGCAGGAGCACAAAGCTGGCTTCGCTCTGTGTTGGTGTAGCATCAAATGTATGATGTCCATCCCTGTGACTTGTCACCCTTGCCAAGGCATTTCTGGATAACATGATTTATTTTTTAAAGAATCAGTTGGTGCAACTACCCAACGACTTAAAGGTATGAGATATTTCATTTTCCTTTCTCCCCACACTGCAATTATTCCTTGCAGAATGAATTTTTTGTGCTAAAGCTAAAAAAAAAAAAAAACCCAGACCAAAATCTAAACAAACAAAAAACCCCACATAAAACCACTTTTACCATCCATTTCTTCAATGAAGACAATTTTTATATCCATATTCCTGCGCCTCCACATGAATGCCAGTGACATGGGGCCTGCTCCAGGTGGGAACTTTGGCATCTGCACAGGCAAATCCCTGTTGTCATTGACAAATTTAGCAGGAAGGACAACAGGATTTCCTTTTCAATGTGCCCTGACTAAACGAAAGAGAAACTTGCCTGTCTGCCAGGATCATCCTAGTTTATTGAAAAGAAAGGGTCAGCCTTTGGATTCTGGATTTGGTTGCTATGAAGCTGACAGGAGAAGCAGAACTGAAACTGCTGAGAAGAGCTTCCTCTTAACCAAAAGATGCCCTTTCAAACAAACAGCACTGCAGGTTTAATTTTCAGTTAGCACAAGCTTTATGAGAGTTCCTACTATCCAGTGGTTTCATCCTGCAGAATTCTGTAATTAGTCATTATTAGTATTCACACACCCTTTCATTTGCTGCTAAACTGGAAGAATCAGTTGCCTTATCTGACTTGATCCCATCTGTACTCCCAGCTGGGCTGGCAGCTCCTACCCCTGTGCAGTGCCTGGGCGGGCAAAAGCCTCCCATGCTTTCATTCCACGCAGGAGCTCGTCCCACTCTCTTCACTGCACCTCACACAGAGGCTGCAGGAGCAAACGGCCACAGGTTCAGCTTTCTAAGGAGGGCTTAGAGTCTTTCCCTTATTTTTCCAAACTCACTGTATTCTGTGGGGTTTCCCTGCAAATAAAAGGTAAAACTGTGCTTTCTGAGAAGTGTTGAGTTGAGGACTGAAGCCACAGATCCCCATTGTTTGGGTTGGTTTTTTTTCAATAGGTAGGAGGGGAAGAAATGAAGATGTGATATAGAAGTAACGATATGACTTTTTGTTGTAAGCTGGTGTTCAGTCATAAGCAAACAATGTGACAATGCTAATCATGTCTAAGCAGCTTCATTTTTCCTTGGCTCTTCTTGAGAAATTTCCCGTGCACAAATAGCAGTAAAGTTTTTAGACAACTTTAATTGCTAATATACTCAGTTGGCTTTCTAGAAAGAGCCAAAACATGTATCCACTGGGAATTGGCAAGCAATTTACTGATAGCTCAATGACTAGTGTTTCCGTAAGCATACCTAAGGTGGATTTGTCAGATGCAAGACTGTAAACACCTCCAAAGCAAAAATATTCCACTACATTTCAAAACAGTTTGGAAAGGCTTCATCTACTAATTCCTGGTTTAGCTTGTACTACTGTAACTACTGCTATTCCTCTCCTTTTCAAATCTTCATTTCAGATAAAGGGATTGTTGTGACACCTGCTGCACAGACAGGCACGGGCAGCTCTCCCCAGCCTTGTTACATAAATCACTTTCTTCTCTGCAATCTGTCATCAGAAGTTATTTCTCCCGAGGTACTTAAGGAACATCATTCAGTCAGTGGCAGCACAGGTGGATTACCAGGGTGACCAGTGGTGTGTGTTTTTCTTCTCCCTCTACATGTGCATTTCCCACAGATTAAATATCCTCTTCTAGCAGAACCCTTTCCTGCCACTTCTTGCCTGCATTTGGAGATGCCTTTTGTGACCAACCTGAGACTGTAAATCAACTGGGCAAGGCTTATTCCTCCTGATATACTTGAAGGGTTAAGCACAGGCTGCATTTCTGGTGAATAGTATAGATTGAAAATAATGCCACCCAGTCCTTACTATTGACGTAAATAACAAATTACTCAAGTACAGCCCTTGAAGAAAGTGGCTGAATTAATTATATTGCAATTAATCCCATGGACTTTTGCAATGGGAAAACTTGTTTTCTTTATGGGGGACCTTAGTATGAACTGAGCCATTTACTGACAATATTGAGTACTCTACAATTTTGAAAAGATTTGTGTTTCTGGCTAAAAGTTTGCAAATATCCAGTCTATAACAGTTCAGCAGTGTGCAAGTCTCTTGGGAAAAGTAGGATTGGAAGAACATTTTATCACCATGCTTTATGCTTATTTAGTGATTGTGAAATGTATAAATGTAAGACAATGCATTCTTTATTTTAATACCTAATTTTATCTATTTAATATAAAGCCATATTTATATAAGTTGTTTGACCATGAGAACATCAGACTGGGTTTGGGACCTGAGGCTCTCAGGTCCAGAACCAGGAGCAATAGGGATTTGGTGGACACCAAACTAGGGCTACCTGAAATACTTTAGGGGTACCAACAGCAGTCTGGCCACAGCAACAGGAGTTTGGTGCTGAATCAGCCTCCCTTGGTTGCTAAGAAGCAGAACAAATTTATCTGCAGCAGGTATTGTGCTGTGGAACTGCAGCTGGTTCCTGTGCTGGATCATTGCTTTGAGGCTGGGATGTCCACACTGCGTGCTGGTGGCACTGCTCCCCCTCCAGCCGAGGCATTCCCAGAATTACCCTTCTCTTCCTCAGGTGGGAAGGAGATACTGCTTTACACATTCAAATAGGGTGGTGGTAAAAAAGTAATTGCTCTTCCCTGTTGCAGGTTTGCTCTTTACAAGTTACCAAAACATGCTAAAGGAGAGATTCCCATGCTGGGGCTGGAATACATGTACATGGATGCCCTGGCTCCACAGTGGCAGCTTGGTAAATACCTCATCAACACGACGCAGGGCGCTCTGGGACGAACACTGAAGCAGCTGTATGACACATATGAATCTAAGGCAAGTGACATTTAATTATTGTTAGTATGTTTACTTGCTATTGCATGCAGATGAAATGAAACCACCCAAAATAAGCACATGGAGGTATGGCCAGACCTGACTGCCCAGATCTACTAAAGCACATCAAGGGGAGCGCCTTGACAGTGGGCAGATTATTTGCAGTTTTGGCTACAATTAGAAATTATCCTCAAAATTCTAATTTCTAGTCAAGCGTTTCATACGCTTAAAGTATTGCCCATCAAAAAAGAGTGTTGGTACATACTCCCTTTGGCTTCTTCTCTGCAATTCGTGTTGAGCAATATCTGAAGCTGTGAACTGGCTTGGAACTCAGAGCAGGGCCAGTGGTGACTGTTACAGACACTCGTCCTCAGCCCTCCTATGTGCATGTGTTTCCCCCCTCAAATCAAATCTGTATCACTGTGACTGCTCCAGCGGTGATATGCTACTGGTTGGCCTTTTTTTTTTCTCCCACAGGGAGACACCTCACATATATATATTTGTGTGAAGTGATTATAAAATATCACAAGATCTGCCTGTAGTTATTTTTTTACCATCTACATAGTATTGTTGAGAGTCTGGGTATGTCTTTGCATTTCTACTCTGGGTTAGTGGTAGGGTGTCATTAATTTATATGAGGAAGAGATTCCCAGAAGTCAGTCAAATACTGTCAGTCCAGAAAACTGTCCTGTTGCAGGTCTCGCTGTAATTGTAATAAACTGTTTACAAATTCTTAGTACATTGGGAGGGGAAGCATGTCCCAACTCCTTTGAAGTCCTTTGTTCAGGGGAAATAAGGTGCGGCCACATGCAAATATTTTGCAAAAAAGCTTTAATTGCTTGCCCTTCTTGAGAACACTTGTCATGTCTATTTTTACTCAGCAAATGTTTTCACCGGATCTGATTGCTAAATCAGAGAGAGGCACAAAAAACAGAGAGGGGAACTTTTTTTTCAAGCAAATGCCATAAACCCATGTAAACTGTCTTAGCAAGCATATTCAACCCTGTGAAAAAGGGCTACTGCAGTGATTGAGAAAACTTCCACTTCATGTTAACCAGAGCCCTGATGCTGAGTCTTCAGGCTTATTTTACTGTAGCATCTGTGAAGACTGTGTCAGCTGAACTGGAAGCAGGATTAGGCTCGTGATGTTCACCCAGAGTCCTGAATTCTTCTGTTTCCAGCAGATGTTCTCTTAAATGCCTTCCTTTTCCTCAGTGTCATGTTTCAGAAGTGTGTGTTTCCCTGCAGAGGAACACCATTGCCTATGTGATATACAACGATGAGATCCCTGGATTGGACTCCAAAGGGTGGAAAAGTGGACACACCAAAGGTACAGGGAGTGTCCCAACCTACTGTTTTCTCCTTTCTGAAGTTATGGATAGCATCTACTTGTCTGTTTGTCTACCTGCATAACTAAAATTCCTGCCTAAAGCAAAACTGGAGAATGATTTGCATGATGTGTGGTTTGTTGTATAGTTACATATGCTGCAGCTTCTGTTTTGGTTTTGGTATGCTTGTGCTGTGTGAAGGATCTTAGGGCTTTTGGACTCTTTGTTTCAAGAGTTGAAACTCATACAGATTCTTTTAGTGAGTACAAACCACATGATCCTGTGCTTGATGGCAACAGCAGTACAAGATGTGAAAGGAAAGACACCCTCATCATATACCCCTCCAAACTCTCTGGGGTAAGAAACTGCTGCCAAGATCATGGTATGCAGTTACAGAAACCCAAAATTTAGATATAAACTTCAGTGGAGGTCTAAATGTTCCCTTGAGGAAGCAGATGGGGTTTGCCCAGCCTGTCTTGGGTATGACCATATTTTGCAGGGCTGTATTTTCAGGCTGCAGGAATGGGGACAGCTCAGGAGCCATGCTCCACCCTGGAGTAGCCTCCAGAGGGGGAAAGTGTAGCCCGTCTTGGTCTAGAAGAGAAGACACAATGTTGACAGAATCTGTTTCCCCTTATCCAGTGAATATATGAAGGGAGGGAAAATAAGCAGTGGAGAGAGGGTCACAGTCAGAACTTTCGAAGACAAAATTTGAGCAGAGGAAGAGAGGTTTTGAAAAGATTTTTTTTTTCAAATGAAACATGATGACAGTTTGAGTTAGTCTATGCAGGAAAGAATTGATGCAATTTTAATACAATATTAGTCTCCTATGATCCATTAATCTACTCTAGAACCAGTTTACTGTAGGTATTAACATGTTGAAATGTGGTCTCCACAGCAGCAAAACCAAAGCAGGACACAGCTCTATTGTCTCAGGGCTTTTTCGTCCTTAATTCATTAGCAGTAACTTTTTTTTACAGGATTTCTGCTCTTGGACAAATCACAAGGCTTCTGGGTAATTCATAGTGTGCCTCTGTTCCCTCCCATCCCTGAGGAAGGTTACGGGTATCCAGCTACTGGGGAGTCCTTTGGACAGACGGCCATCTGTATAACCTTCAAATATGACCAGTTCACTGAAATAGGTATGAAAAGCTTTGCCCTAAGAAAGCCTTTGTCCCACCACAGCTCTCTGATTGCTTTCCTTGAGACTTCACCTCAAAAATTCATTGTTCTTGACCTTTGTTGTCAGACTGGGAAACCAAATGGGGCCTTGGTTTCAGTTATGTTTATCCAACGATTTCTTGCTTGAATGTGGGAAATTCACTCTTCCACTCTGTTTCCTTCTCCCCATGGGGATTATTAGGATAATAATAGTCACAAGTGCTTATCAAGGGTAAATTAGTCTGTGTATACGAAGTGCTTTGGAAACATAAAGTAGGATGATTAATAATTTTTAACAGTAATAGCTCATTCAGCTACAATCACCTGCAGTTCTAAAAATGTAAGGCAACTACAGCTTGAGCTGAAGTAGTAGCCTTGACTCATCAGAAATATGAACTATGGAATAAATATCACCTAGAATTTCCCCAGGTATTTTTTGCCACAAAACCCACCAATACTGAATATATAAAAAAAAACAAACAAAAACCCCAACAAAATATATACCTCTAAGATTCAGAACTATCTGACAGTGATAACTGGTAGTGGAATCCTGAAAAGAACTGTCAAAAGGCATTACAAGAAGTCGTGCTGGCATGCTCCTTACCTCTTTTCACACTGTTTTTTCACTGTTTTCTCAGTTACAAACCTCAAATCATATTAATGAAGCACACATGCTGTGCAAATTGCCAGAGTGGCCACACCTTAGAGTAATCTAAACCAGGTTCCTGTTTGTGGAAACACATCTGTGCACGTGTTTAGGGAAAGAGGACAAGAAAATGAGATGCACACTAGTGCTTTTCCTGCCTCATCCTCCCAGCTTCTGATAATCTGTGGTTCAGGGATTTCCTGAGCCAGAAAGACTGGAATGTTCCTGATGGACTGGTCTTCCCTGAACTCATCTAATGAGCCCATTTGTTCCCTAGCTCTCTATGATATCCATAGCAAGGACTTCTACAGTTAAGCTGAGCAGTGTTCAGAAAAGTGAATTTCTTCTGGAAATTCAATCCAGACGCTGAAACTCAAGTTCTGTTCTCCCTAAAACCAAACTAGACCCTTGGGCAGCTCTTCTGTTTGCATTTGGCTTTGCAGCTGTAACTGACTAGAAACCACTTCTGTAAATACAGACAGGTTTGGATTTACACATGCTGTCTGAGTGCTGTGTGGCTGCACAGAGGCTTGAAGATGAGCAGGGGTGGAAGTGGCAGTGGACCAAGACCACCAGTTAACAGTTCTGCTAATAATGAGGCGTGAGTGGAAAAACCTGAGCGTGCTCTCCCAGTCAGTCTATGTGCTGCAGACCCACCTGGAATACAAAGCAATTACATATATTTTTGGTTGGTAAAATAAGATACTTTAATGCAAACTCATCCAGAGGGAGGCTGTGAAGATTAAGGACTTACATTTCCTTTCCAAGGCAGAACTTTGCTCTCTTGATTGCTTTGCTTTAGCCCATTTTAATTCTGCATATGTTCATTTCTGTGGGTTTTTCTCAGACCAACAGATGTTGAGTTATAATCCCGGAATCTACAGTTGTTCCATCCCTAGCATCTTCCAAGCTGATCTCCCAAATCTGCAGAAGCTCTGTGCAAAGTCCAGGCTGCCCGTGGTCCCCTTGCGCCACCTCACCAAGCTCCAGTCAGCTCATGGGGAAACCTTTCTCCACTTTGCAAAGTCACACTCATTCATAGATGGTAAGGGAACCTGTTGCTCTATGTATCACACATTCTCAATTAATTCTTAATGTATTAATTAATATATTCTTTGACAGTTAGTATTTTCAGCTTCACAAATGAATGAAACAGAGGGCAAGGAATGGTGTCCCATCTTAATATTCTCTCAGCCCCACAAAGCAAAAAACCGTCTGGTCCATCCTAAGGTGTTCAACAATGATATTTTCAGAAAATTTATTTCCTGTTATTGAACGATAACAACAAAGAAGAAATCATCTGGGGTCTTTTTGTTATCAAGAAGATTTGCAATTGTTTTGTCCTTTCCTTTTTTTCCTGCTGGTTGTTTGTAACAGGTTTTCTAGAAGGAGAAAAATTAGAAATGAACTTCTGAAACCAAAGTCAAAATAAGGGGAAGGGGCAAAACCCCCTCTGGCTGACTTTATGTGTTGCAATGAAATGAGCGTAATTTAGATGATATTTTTCAGTCTGTTTTTAAATGAAGGAACATGAAAGATTAATTTCCCACACCCTGTGTTATTCCACAGATATCTATGTGGCCTGGATAGCTCAGGAACTGAAGACCGATTTGTTGGCTGAATCCTGGCAGCGTTCTGGCCAAAAACTTTACTCAAATTGCTCTCTCGATTACCACGTCTACAACATAAACCTAATAGGGATGCCATTGAATTCCACCTTTCATTCCATTAATGATCATTCCAAATGGGCTGTTTCAAGGAAATACAAAGATCAGTGGACCTGCATCGGAGACTTAAACCGTGCTGCCGAGCAAGCTTGGAGAAGTGGTGGGTTCATCTGTACCCAGAATGAACACATCTACAGTGCCTTCAGGCACCTGATAATCCACTACGAAAGCTGCACTGCTGCTTCCACAGGGATATAACAGACCATTCCTCCCAACCAGCACAGCCCTTATTACATAGAAAGTGTGTGAAATATCTGCCTTAAAATGTATTTCCTCTGTGAAAAATGGCCCTGTGCGTTGCCAGGTGTGCTAGATCATCACCTTGTTGGCTATAAAAGCAGGTGGTGTGTAGGTAAATGATGGCTGGTTTGCTCTGGTGTGGGACCCAGAGGCTCTGCGTGTGCTGAGCCGTGCTCTGCTCTCTGCTGGCTCCTCACCATCCGTGTCAGGATGGGATAGGATGGGATGGGATGGGACCCTGTGGCACAAGGCTGCACCAAAGCACATCACTGTGGGTGCCCTGCATGGGCACCCCTGGAGCAACTTGTGAGCTGGGGCTGCATGTGGGATGGGAAGGACAACAGAAACCTCTCTCCTGGGCTGGGTTGTCAGGAATGGGCAGTCGGCAAGGGACAAGTACCCCAAAATACCTCAAAATCACCCCATATTTCAGGTGCTGTTGAGATAAATCACAGCATTTCTGCTCAGTTTGGGCTGAATCTCTTAAAGTGCTGATTAAATCCAGACAGGGAAATAAGTAGATCTGTGGACAGGAAGGCTTCATTTTTACGTGATTCATTTTTAGAGAATAAATGAGCTTTAAAGCATCTTTAAATCATCTCTATAACCAATAGCTTGGGAGTATTTCTAGTGCTTTTATTCATGTACAGCAATCTTATAAACAAATAAACATGTTCAAAATTTGAATAAGCAAAATAAGAGAAAAAACAGTCTGTTGACAGTCTCCCTCTTCCATCTGTATAGTTATTTGTGGTTTGTTACAATGTATATAGCTGCCAAGGGAAAAATGGACACAATTAGGGAAAAAAATAAAGAAAAAGGAAGAAAATATTTGAAGGAAGATGTTATTTATCTACATTTTCACATTACAACAAATGTGACTGTTAATTTTCAATATCTCCATTCTCAGGCTTAGGACCTGAAGTTTGCATGGAGTTGCTGTAAAGACAAGCTAATTTGGAAAATCCTGATACACTCTTGGGTTCAGATTTCAGAATTGTATCTGCATTAATATGTTCCCAAATATATTTATAGGGTTCTATCTCACTCGTAATTTTTTTCCTGAATTGCTGATATGAACTGTCTGAAGAATTGGCTGTCCCACTAATATTTCTGTTTTGCTGTGTTCCTAGTTCCTACCACTGGTTCTCCACAAGTGTCTTAAAAGGAATTAGACGGAAAGAAATGCCCCACAACCACAGGAGGTTGTCAAATAATGTATCAAGCCTTCATAATGAAGGGAACTGTGCAAGAATAGATTTCAAAATTAGCCAGTCTGGATCAAAGGCAAACCCGAGTCTCATAGCTCAGTGAAAATAGTGTAGATAGCTTAGATATCCTGCACAAAATTTTTTTTTAACTTTTCTCTGCCTATGACATAACATTTGATAAATAGTTTGCTTGGTAATGCTTTTTCTCTGATGCTTGTGAAATTGTTTAACATATACACCTTTCATTCTTTTGCTAGCTAGGGTCGAGCAACACCTTTTGTGGCAGCAAATATTGCCAGTGACACAGAACACTGCGCCGTGGGATGGAAGGGCATCACTCAGATAAGCCAAGATAGAATTAATCTCTCTTGCCCATCTTTTCATGGCAGACACTAACCTGACCTGCCTGTCTGAGCTCTGGCATCTTGCCCGTGGGTTTGTGTACACATGATCTCAGTGTACAGGGCTGGTGAGAAACCCTCCACTGGAGACTGCTGGTGAGGCTCCCTGTGGTGCCTCAGAGAGCATCTGCACCTGTGGCACAACCTGTAATTATGGTATTTTCAAATGCTCAGCCACAGCATTTGGATTCACAGAGTTGGATAGCAAAGAGTCTCTGTCCCACAGGTTGTCACAGAAGTGTTGCCACAGCCCTGCTTCCCAGGCTACACGTCACCAGTCTGTCACTTGACTTTAAGTGCTGATTGCTGTTCTTAATTATTTGATCAATTGATAGCTGGCATAAGGCTAGACTACTTAAGCATTTACTAGACTAACTTAAGCATTCCTCTTTCAGTATACCCAGGACTGGTTGCCTCCATTTTGTACCTGAGGAGGTATAAAGAGCAGTGGGAAGGTGCAGAGAAACAGCTGTACCATACAGCAGTACAAGCATCTCAATATACAGACTCATTTCAGTGGTGTGGCAATAAACAGGCTGCAGATCTGGTTCTCTCATGTTTTAGCTGTAAACAGCTTTAATTCAGTTTTGCTATTGTTGTGTAACCTCAGTATTTGCATATCATAGTATTTCTGCTACACACCTTATGAAACATGGGCAGGCTCTTCGTTTCCCAAAAGAGACTGATAGTCAACAAAATAAACCAAATAATAGATTTTTAAAGGGTTTGTAACTCAAAGGCTTTCTGTGCAAATGCAAGACCATAAGCCACTTACTCAACCTCTTATGCCCTCACAGTACGCACTGTGATCAATCATTAGTGTGAAATACTTTTTGCCTACTTTATATGCATATATGTATGTATTCATAAAGTTTTTAAATTTAAAATACACTGTTCTATTTTAAAATGCCAAACACTCAAGAAAGACCTGCCTGTCCCAGTGATTCTGTGTTGCCTCTGCTGCCCACCATGACCCTTTTGACTGGGCAGGCTGGTTGCTGCAGAAGGGGACACGTGGCACAGCCCCTCTGCAATTTCAGGGGGATGTGCTCAGCAAAAGTGACCCTGCAGAAGCACTGGACCCTGGCCTGGAGAAGGAATAAAGCTGCTCTCTTGTCTGCAAACCTGGAGTATCTTCTCAGCGTGCAGGTATGGCTATTCTGACCCTTGGGCTCTGTTCTAGTTAGACTAAATGAGAACATTTATTATACATGAAAATTGTTTGCTGAGGGAGTAGGAGAGGCCAAAAGAAAACATTATTAATCCACTAAACATTACTGTACTGCAGCCAAGTTTGTAACAAACACAACAGTAGGGATCATTGTTTGGTATAAATTGCCTTGTAATCATTTCCACAAGCGGAGGCTCAGTCCCAGCACGCCTGACACGCTTGCAGGGTGCAGGAAATGCAGATACAGTCTCTTGAAATACATGCCTGCCATTTGCATCTCCTGCCCTCACCACTGCTACTGCCACCCCAGAGCAAGGGCAGAATTGCTCAAAAAGCTGTGATGATTTTTCTGTAAACCCCTCTATCCCTGAGGATGCTTCTCTAACACTGGTAACTGTGGGTCGGTAGGGCAGTGGTTTGCTGTGTTGGAAAGTGCAATTTTACACAGACTTAATGCAAGAGGTCAACGGATTTGACATTGAAGAAAAGCTAAACATAAAAAAAATGAAGGCTTAAATATTTAAAATGTGTGAGGTTTAATTCCAACTGGGCAATTACAATAAACTGGAATGCAGGCAGAGGCATTGCAGCCTGAGCCCACTTCACAGGGCAGCCTTTGTGATGGAATTGCTTCTGGTGTCTCCACAATGACCGAACATACATTATGGGAGTGATGAACAATGTAGCTGCCCACCAGCAAGTCAAAAGAAGCTTTGGGAGAAATTTCTCTGTTTTCCCTTCTCCAAGACATGCTAACTTAGCCTGGTGCTTGGACTTGTCACAGGGGTCCACAGGTGTCCTTCTGAACCAGAGCAAAGTCTGCTTCAAAGTGTGCATGATGGCACTTTAAAAAGTACAGCAGTCCTGCACAAATTAGGTTTTGATCATTTCACTGTCAGTAATACCCGGTATTCCAGCTGTCCTTACAAACCACACACACTGCTCCCCTCTTGGCACATTTTGTGCAGTTTTTCTGCTCTCAAAAAAACCCCCCCAAAACCAGGAAGTTTCCAGTAAACACATCTAATGTAAGTGCCTGTGTCAAACAGGGCTTCCTCAGCTTCCCTGCAGCATGAAGGGAGGTTATTTTTACAAAGACATATGGGCCCTCTCATCCCTCTCTTTTGTTTAAATGTACACAGTCCTGGCTTCTGACAGTAGTGAAATGCTCAATAACATCACTGTGAGAAATGTTTTTAATGTATCAAACCATCCTTGGCATTATTAGCATAGTCACATAATTATCCATGGAGAAACACCCATATGTTAACGCCCATAAAGTATTGTGTGAATCTCTTTTATACCTTTATTTTCAGTTTCTGGGAAAGATACATCACTGGGTACTTAATATAGCAATTGCTTCAGAAGGTGTAAGCTGCCTATGCCCGCGGTGAAATGGTCGGGAGGCAGAGTAGTGCTGGCAGCGTCATCTGAAAGCTCAGTAAGCCACAGTCTAACTGTGCTCAGAATGTGATGCAAGAATACGATGCACCTCTTTAATTTCACAAGAGATTTCTTAAAAAGACAGGAATTTAAAAACGAGAATGAACAGAAACTGATGGTAGGCTAAGTGTGAAAACACACCTTGTAGGGAACAAATTCTTCATAGTACAACAAGGCAGAGAGCCTGATCTGAAATTCCAAGCTGGGGTAGCAGTATCAGTGTTTTCTAGATATCCTGATACCCTGAGTATCTTAGCCGTATCTGACACTTTTGTATTTAGACTGGATATACCAGATTAAAGATCTAATCTGCTGAATTTTCTCATCATCCTTACAAATTTGGCATGAAGGTAGTAAAAGAAGTTGTGTGTGAACCCAGAAATTGGTTGTAGCACTTTCAGATCTTGGCCTCAGACAGCATAATCTAACTTCTAATGCAGACCCATTGTATGCTTATCTTTAGGGTTTTTAAATTATTTATCCCAGTATTACAAATATGTTATTCTATGTGTATGTGATATGTTCATTTTACTAAAACTGTTAAATACAAAACATTAGGACATGAGAAATATATCTCACTTTTTATAAATAGTTGTGTTACACTTTTACTCAAGTGATTTTAGTAAATCCTTTCGATTTTATTTTTTTCATTTGCCTTTGCTTGACATTTCTTCCCAAGGTGTCTGGTGACTATTCTGATTCTTCTGTAAGAGAGATAAAAGTAAGGAACATTCTTCCCCTCCTTTGATCACTTTGCAGCTTGGGAACTGCAAACCCATACTCAAATATTCAGAGCTTACAGGAGCAGAGCATAATATTTAATGTTGCATGCTAAAGTAAAGGCAATTGCTACAAGTGGTTCACTGTAGTACAGTAGTTCTAGCATTGCCTAATTTATTAATCATAGAAATGTTGCATGCAAATTAGCCACAGAGTTGTGCATCATAATACAGTAATGCAAAAATCTGTCTTCACATGTATTAATGCTCGTAAATTATGGATATCACACTACAGCATTACACAGTTTCCCCATTACATTCCAAAACTTGCTGAAAGCTCACTAAAAGCCATGTTACTGAGTGTTTTCTTTTTGTTCCTTACTTCTGGCTTTCTAAAGTGCGAGAGTATTTAGCTGCAGGGCATTTTTGTGTCTTCCTTTTCCCAGGGTTCCTTTTTGGGCTAACATTCTGCCAGCCAAACATCAAGATTTCTCTTGCTATAGTGCAGTTTAAAAACATATTTTTGCTCTGGTATGAGTATGGTCAGCACCACTGCCCTCCCCTGCTCTGAAAGCTGCTCCATTTCACGTCCTGACCTTGTAAATGCTAGGCACTCTGCAAGGGAAATCTGCATCTTTTCCTCTCTTGCTTTCTTAATGCTCCAAATATTTCTTTCAGGAAAGTCAAGGTGAGAATAAAGGAACTGACAATGTTGCATGGAATATTTTGCAAAAAAAGACCATGAAAGAATTTCTGCACAGCAAATAGGGATAGTCTGTGCAGTTGTATCCCCAGCCACTCACCAACTTGCCCTCCTCTTACTGTCAAAAGATGGGAAGAAACAGAGAAATGGGAGCAAAGAGAGTTTGCAGGAAAAAGGGAGAAGAAGGAATAAGACAACTGAAGGTGAGCAAGACAGAGAGAGCAAGGGAAGAGCAGAAGGAGCGTTAGGATTGTCAACACCAAGGAGGTCAGAGACCTTGAGTGTGATGACAGAGAAACATTAGGAGTTAGCTATGCAAAAATCCAGTTTACAGGATATTTAATTTACTATGATAGATACTTAACATTTATCCATTTTACAGATACAGTCTCCACAGGCTACACTGCGGAGATAAAAATGAAAGGCATAAACTGAAGTGACTTAGCCAAGCAGTACAAAAACATAAACCAAAACAACACCCGAGAGGAAGTTGCTACCTCTCTGTTACCAAACTACGAGAGGTGAGGTAAGGCAAAGTCAAAAGCATTAAATAGGTAAAAGTAAGTGAGAGAAATTCATAAGCTAGGCTAACCAGTTTGAACCACACGTATTTGAATAAGATGCTAAACCACTTTTAAAAGAAGGAAACTAAGATTAAGCTTTAAAGCCAATACAAAAATACAGTAAAAACAGGAGACGCAAAACATTCATAGGAGTAACTGCAGATTATTTCATTACAGCTGGTAATGCTGAAGTGAGCTGCATTCATTCTTGTAGTATTGAGAGAACTGCAGGCAAAAAAAGTAATACAAATACAAAAGAAAATAAACAGAAAATACACAGAGATAAGAAGACTGATGCCTTTAACACTTTGCTTTGGGGATTGTTATTACAGATATATTTACAACATATGGTCTGTTATTGTCAGGTTAAAAATCAAGTTTTATTTAGAAACCTCCCGAGCTTTATGTTTTCTTCAGTATCATCTCTGATCCTACTTTGCTCTCCAGCACTAAACAAACTACCACTGGTCTAATATAGTAGTTTCTCACTGCACTTAGTGTCAAAATCAGTAAGTATTCCCAGGTATTACTTACTGTCACTTGGCTCATGGTGGCTGTTTTGTCACCTCCTGGTCTTGGGTCCCACAGAGGAATAATGGCAGTATAGAAGCTGTAGCTCTATAAAAAGTGTCATGTTAATATTAGAGGAGGAGCTAGCCATAAGGGGTTGGCTTCACAAATGTAAATATTTCATAATTTATTTAGCAACGTGGCTTTTCTTTTTCCCCCAGGCAAAAACTTTAATAAAGGAATAGATCTGCTGCAACAAAGGAAATAACAGCAAAAACAGAGACAAGGACACATCCTAACCCCACTAATATCAGCAGGAATTTGCCTTCATCTTCAGTGGGAACAGAACTTCAAAGACATGGGAATCACCTATAAAACCTGAAGGGTAAAATCTGAACCTTCCATAGTCTATGACACAAACTGTGTTTAGAGGGTGATAGCATAGTCCCGACACGATGAAAATGTCCCTCGCAGGAGTTGCACTCCTTGGCCTGACCACAGCCTTGTCCCCAGCACTGCCAGGGTGGCTGTTAGGACAGACCCCAGAGAAGTCTCATGCACAGGCAGCTTCTTTGAGAGAACTTCTGTGAGGCAGGACTACACAGGAGCTGGCCAGAGATGAACTTCCTTTTGGTGGACACTGTCTCTCTTTGTTCATGGCTATACTTTCAGTGCCTAAGTCAGGAAGAAGTGATATCCTCACCTTTAGGGGTATATTTTTTTACATCTCAGTAACTTAAGATACTCTTTCAAGGCCTGCCTCTGGCAGAATGAAGGCTGAAAGCTCTATCTCCTTAGTCCTACTTTGTGTTGTTAGAACTGAGGAAGATGGGCTGTGTGGATATAAAGACTCTTTTCTTCTCTAGGGAGATGTAAGATCTCCCTAGAGGACTAAGAACATCTTCTGGGTGCACACTGCTTTCTAAGTGCTGTGAATGTGGGAAGGCCAGGAGGAGGGAACTCATTCCTGAGTACCTCTGCAGGTCTTGTTTTGGTACTGGCACCATACAGCAAAGTAGAAATTAAAAGAGTAGAGATACCATTCTTCTGCTAACAGCAGAATTAGTTTCCCTCTCTTTCCTTTGGATGATTCCTTATGCTTCTGTTGCTGGGAGCACATAATGCAACACGGTATCAGGTCTCTGTATGTGTGTAATGTACAACCTGGACAGGTTGTTACACCCTTGATGAGTGAGTTTATCTGTTCCTCATGGTACTATTTTAGCTTTGTGAGAAAAAGTATCCCTCTGTCCTTCATTATTCCTTGGTCACCAAAATCAGTCTGACAACACAGACTCTTTCAAATAAACCAAATTCCAAAGAATGGTAGGTGTTTCAGGAAAACAGTCCATGGCAGTGTGTACCCTAACTAAGGCCTCTCCACTGATTTCAAATTCTATTTCAGATGTTTCATGTGGCATCTGCACCACCAAACCATTGCAGGCTGTATCAAGAAAGCAATGGCAAACACTTTCAGAAAAGCACCTTTAAAATAACTATGTTTAAGATATGCTAGTTATGTCTGTGTACTGTACAGCAATGATTTTCAGTCCCTGGGTGTAAAGACATTAGTGTAAGATTAGTAAGTAACCTTTAATCAAGCTACAAATATGACTGTGAAATAGAAGTTCATGCATATTTTCCATACATTTAATTTCTTAAGGAAGCCTGTGCCTCTACTGGAAAATTATAGGGAAATTTCAAAACCTTTGCTCTTTGCAAGTTAGACCCACGTTGTATGTCAAAATATACAGTTGGGTTTTTTGAGAGAGCTAGCATTGCTCAGGGCCCTGCCGGTACAGAGAACTTGAGATTTCAATACTTCTTTTAAAATAAAATGCAGTATTTCTTTAATGCTAAATTCCTTTGGATTCCAGTGTCCTCACTGTTAACAATCAGCACATTTACAATCAGTCTAAGAAGTGAGGAGTGAAGCATGTGGTTTGGCTGCTTTCAAAATCATATGCTTTGAAAATGCTTTGTGGGTTTAGTTTGGTAATCCAACTGAAATGACCATCAGCTAGACAGATAGGACAGTAAAGGTGAAACACAGTATCGCAGATACGAAACTAATCTGTATTTCATGGTTCCCATCTCTGGGTATATGAGCCCAGCTCTTTGTGGGATCAAGTGACACTTAAACATAGCACTATTGAGCACAACTGGTTTGATTATCTTTGCTAAACTGGTGTGGTAAAGGCAAAGTGAAACCGAGTGGCTTCGTGGCCCTCACCACTTACACCATAAGCACAGTGTCCTCTCTAGGCAAGGGCAGTTTCAAGGGCTAACAGCATCTGAAGTAAGTCCAGTGTAAATTAAATGTAGTGTTGTGTAAAGCATGACAATAAGGTCAACAGAGTAAAAATTAGAAGAGCTAAACTTTAGATAAATTTATGAACGCACTGTATAAATTAATACATATTTGTGCAAAGTATTTGGGAGAAGAGAAATATATTTCCTCTGAAAGGATGTAGGTGTGGCTACTGCAGTGTACCAAGGAGATTAAAAAAAAATCCTGTTGCTGTGTTCTTATTGTGGTTGAAGTAATAATTAAGAGTTTGGCGTCAAGTTTGAATGATAACTATTACTTTCTTCACACAGATTTTCTAAGCTTGAGAGACCAGTTTTCAAAAGCTCTTTAGCAAAGTTATTATGTTACAAGCATTACTCTGACAGAAGAAACTGTAAAAGGATGATCAGTAATACTCAGGGTGAGTCCTGGTTTTTCAATATCTTCTTAGAATTTGGCTTCAAAAAGGAAGGTCAGCTTTTCTGACAGTAATCTTTCATAATTAGAAATGAAAATGATGCAGTTGGCAAGTTCTCAACAGCCTTGGAAATTGGACCTAATACATTCAAAGGCACAAGCCTTTAAAATATTTCACATGTAGACACTGTTAGCTAATATTCTCAATTAGAATGCATGCTTTTGTTCTTAAAGAAAACCACCCATGCTATTTCTTTTACTGCTGATACAGGTTTGTATCTGTTAATGCTTTGAATTTTCTGATTTGGATACTCCCAGAGGGAGTACTTTAAACTCCCATAGCACTGTGTCCCAGATAGCTCAACAATGATAAGCATTACAGTAAGTCTTGCATATGGCCGTATGAACATACTACATATGAAGAGAAGAGAAGCTTACACCTGAAGAACTCTAGTACTGTGAAATAAAGGACTCAAAAGTGAGGAAGTATAGAACTACATTTGCCTGTACAACTTTGGCCTGTGTATGGCTATCCTTTACAACTGGACCATCTTTTTTTTTTGTGTACAAAATCTACAGCTTTCTCAGATAATGTGTAGAGGGTTTGCTGGCTTTTAATCCTTTATATTAAGTGTGTAGTCTTCTGGTTTTATTTATTGCTCATTATCCAGCTCCATCCCAGAACTTAATTCTGTCACAGGAGTTTCCCAGAACTTAATTCTGTGACAGAAATTTGATACGTCTAGCTGAAAGAACAAGTGAAAACAAAATTTTAAATATCAGCCTCAGCCTGATAAAAGCCTGGAAAATTATACATTTAGTTGTTAAAAAAAAAAAAAATCTGGAAGAACATGCTAATAATCCTTGACAGAGGCCTGTAAAGAGACTACAATCATCTGAGCAGTATATTCTACTTAAGCTTTAAAAAAGTACAACAGAACTTGCTATTGATAAATAACTTGTGTGCAGGATCCAGAGCAGTTTTGTTGGGATCTCCAGCAACGCCATCACTCCATCTCCCAATGATTTTGTGGTTGGCATCATATCCACAATATCAGCCTTGCAGGTTGTGTAACAAGCTAATGATGCCACCCTTAAGGAAAAACATGGAGGTACTTGTATGATGACAAGGTTCCACCACACAAATACAGTAAGAAATAATTGAGATTAGGTGAGGCTGCAGTCAAACATGAAACATTAAAATACTGTTTACAAACAAACATAGAACCAATTAAACTGAATTTATGTAAACTATTTAATTAGCAGATTAGAAAGCCTGATGTTACATGTGTGATCTTCTAGTCTGACTTCCGGTATAATGGAGAGCAGATTTTCCTGAACTCATTCCTGTCTGAACTAGATTGTATCATTTTGAAGGAGAAACATATATGTTGATATAAATATCAACAGAAAAGTTACCATAACTCTTGGTAACTCTCTCAATGATTAATTAGAAGTAACTATAAATTAAGGTTGCAGGTCTGGGATCTTTGTCTCCCAGAGCTAAGGCATGGATTTTTAAATGGATATTTACAACACAAAATGGTACATAAAGGGCCCCTATTAACCTTCTATTTGATGAGCTAAATAGATGGAACTCTTTGAGCCCCACATTAGAAGGAGAGTATCTCTTAATCATGTCTCATCTCTATCCTATGAAATCCTTCTAATTTTTCATTACTTTATTTGAATTTAGGACCCAAACCCCATTTACAACATTCCACTTTTCCTTGCATTGGTGCCAGATACAGATGAAGTATAAATCTCTCTATTCTTTCTCAATATTTACTTGCTTGGGCAACCAAGAGTTGGCTTCCCTGTTCTAGTCACCACATCAGAGAATAGCAATTGGGGTCTATTAGTCTCCAGTTGCTTTTCAGTGACTTTGCTTCCCAGCAGAAGACTCCCTAAGAGATTTGCTGGGCCCTTGTTCTTTCTAGAACATATGTTCTGCTTATTTATTTGTATAAAGCAAAAATGCTTTCACACAAATTTTGTAGGAGAATAAGGCACAAAGGGATGTATCAGAGTTACCATGAAGTATTTGTGAAGAAAGAAACTGAGGACAGGACAGATCTCCTGAATCCCATATTGGCACTACAATACTGCACATTTCCATGGGAGGCTGAATTGCAAAGGCCATGGTCAGATTAATTGTCAACTGATGGATACAATCCCAGTACTGGATTGAATGCTGTAATTTCTTTCCAGATGTATTTAAAACTCTTCTGGTTCAATAAGAAAGCAGGGCTTGAAGCCTAACTCTCTCCTGCCAAAGGTAACCATGCCATACCTTCTCTTTCATAAATAATCCCCCACAAATTTAGGAAATAAAGTATTTTCTCAAACGGGAGAAAAATATGATCAATTTGGAAATATAGACAAAAGAAATATTTTAGCTAATCAATTTAGCTAATTCTTCCCTGTCAATTTGTACAGTTACTTTTACTGAAATGGTGCTTTTGATTCTGTCCTCTGTCTCCTACTGCAGGGAACAAAGATTGTCTTCAGCATCACTCTGTGTTGAGTAAAGCACCAAACTGGTTGAACCATGCAGACCAAGCAAAAGAGATCCTGTGATAAAAGATCTAACTTAAAAGCAGATTTCACTATGAGTTTAATTTCTTTGTTCAATCAAACCCTGTGCACCAGGCAGGATTGGCTCTAACAAGCTTCTACAGAAAAATGATCCCAAAGAGACTGAAATCTAGGCCACAGCTACGAATAATTCTTCGGAAGCTCTCTGGATTTCCTGGAGGGCAAGGTGTGGCTCTGTGTGTGGGAGATAAACGCCGGTGTTCTTCTGTTAGTAGTAATTAGGTGCAGCTTGAGTTTCATTAATAAGAGCTACATATGCATGCTGGAAAAAACGTTTATCTGACACTGGGATTATATGTTACTAGCTAAATGCTTTACATTGTGTGTTATCTTTGTTATTTTGTGATTAGCACTTAAAAATGTCCACAATATTTTATCAGCACATAAGAAAAAAAGTTCTGTTACTGAGAGTTTATAATATAAAAAAGAAAGAAATCTCCTGGTAAATCTCCAAGTTATCCTACCAGTCTGTCTAACATTTTAGAACCACTTCTTGCGTTATCATTTGTTTTTATTAGCTTTAGTCATTTTGATTTTGATGTTGTTTATAATTATTGCCAAATGCAAAAATAGTCTTTCCAGAAATTTACCATGAACACCCAGCACTGAAATACCAGTCTTAAAGATTTGATAAACCAGTAAAGAAACAGAATCTTATTGGGGAAAAGGGCTGGGTAGCCTTAAATAGAAGAGATTCTGCAATTCTAGTGACTATTCATCAAAATCTAGTGATACAAACAGGAAAAAAACCAAACCTGTAATGTAGCTAAAAATGCTTGTTAAATTATTTTAAAAGTCCATTCATTTCAATGTTCAATCCCATACCATCTGAATATTATGGCAGTTATTCTAAAATTCTTATAAAACACTTGAAAGGGTTTTTACTCCATTTTGAGGTTTCATAGCATCACAGGTTTTCAGACCAGAAGAAAGCACCATGAGTCTCCAGCCTGACCTTTTGCAGGGTCAAGTGATATATATATCATTTCTGGTGGAGATAGAACACTTCCTTTGGAAAAACAATCCACCTTCTTGATTTAAAAATTTCAAGTGGCAAGAAATACTTCCCAGGCCTATCAATTTATTTTTTTTCCATGGCTTCGTTAGTCCACGGGGTTCTCTCTATGTTTTGGTTTTGTTTTGTAATCAAAAAATGGCTCAGCTTTCAAACACTACATCTTTTAAAAGATTTGTCTTCTAAACTGAAGATTTCTATGATTATTCTCTTTATTTATGTAATTCAAGATGAGTTAGTGCTTATGTAATTCATTGATGGGCTCGAGATTAAGGTTTTGAAGCCCCTGTAAGAAGGGTTTCTAGATCACAAAGCAACCATAGACTGGTTAACCAGGTTCTCAGTTTTTGTCTCGGTATCAGGACATGCTGCTCCACCAGCCAACCCCTACTGCTACAGTGCTCTCCACGTGGATCCACGTGGATGGCATTGCTGTGTGTTCTTACTTGCTTTTCTCTGTTGCTGCTTTTCATAGTGCAGCCCTCCATCAAATAGCTAAACTATGGTTTTCTTTCCTAGCAATATTAGCCTGCACTTAGCTATACTAAAATACACATTGTTCAAGGTAGCTCACCTTTCCAAAGATGTACTAGTACTGTGGACTAATTCCTTATCACTGAAATGTGTTAAAATATTTAAGCAATATATTTTGCTTATTCTTGATAACATATATGTTGATACCACGAAGTTAAGAGTGATCTGCAAGGGGAACAACAGTTTCACTTGACACCTTTTACTTTGTAACAAAATAGTTATACTTTTTTAATACCTTTAGTAGCACAGCCAAATTGTGTTGCATACATTTTGATCAAGGAGAAAATTCTTATATATTTGGGGGCAACCTGCATGCAGAAAAAGAAACAAAATTATTTGCTATACCAAGTTCTATTTATTTCAAAAAAATTATTCCACTACTGTACAAATATGTCCTAATGTAAAGTAACAGAAATTTAATAAATAAAATGAAAACACAAAGTAGCATATTCTGAAAAAAATCTGGCTAGAAATGAGTCATACTCTAATCTTGGATAAACTCCTTCTTTTTCCCTACGTGAAGGAATGTTTTACTAAGGCTGCTCAAGCTATTTTTTATCACCACCAGCAGAGATATACAAACACCACTTCCTACGAAGAGAACCACACCCCTCAAGAAACACAAGTTTTTCTGCATACCCAAATCATTGATGAAATGTTGCCATTGTACCTTTTACAGCACAGTTCTTTGGAAAAGGACAGTGATCTCAGAAGCAGCACAAGGAATTCAGCAAAATACCAGGCTGGAAACAGTAGATGCTTCTTCAGTACTTTGCCACGAGTAGCTATTGGATAAACTTCTGAGAAAGTGTAATGTATCAATTTACAATTTTGTTGTTCATAGAATTTCTATTTGGGGAAGTATTCCTGTTTTCTGCACTAGGCACTTGAAACTCCATCAACCTCCATTATATTTTTTTCCCCAGCTAATATACAATTAATGCACTATCTAGTAGTTATAATCTACTAACTAACCAGAAGTGCTGACAGACTTGTAGTAAATCAAACACCCAGTATTAACAAGGCTGATCTGGTTATCAGTTTAAGATAATGGCCAGCTGTGCCATCTTGATAAATCCTGTGGGAAGAAGTTATTGTAATGTCGGTTATAACTACATGGTTACTACTGTGTTGACATCCATACATAAAGCAACTGTGAAATAATTTTTTAAACTCTAATGAGTTTAAAACTCAACAGTCATATGTAGCAGACTAGGGAATTTCCATAATTTTTAAATAATACATTTGCAAGGTTTTTTTGCAAGAATACCGTGTAAAATGCCTTCTTTTTTAAAATGCTCTCCTTTGCTTTATTTTTCCTGAGATTATTTAAGTCTTGCGCTGTCAGGCTTCCAAAAGCTTTGCTTCTTTTTCTTTCTCACATGCACATAGACACACCTTCTGAGATGTTTGACACAGACATTTGAATGCATCACTGATTACTGCTCTTTGCATGGTACAGCAAGAGGTACACCAGGCTGAACTGCTGCACCTTCAAGAAGGGCAGGATGGGAGACCCAGAGAACTACAGGTCTGCCAGCCTCACCCCTTTCCCCAGGATGACTCTGGAGCAAACACTCCTGGAAGACATTTCCTAGCACCTGAGATACACAAAGGTGATTGAGAACAGATGGTGTAATGTGGCTTCACCAAGGGCAAACCTTTGATGGCAAGACTGGCTCAACAGAGGAGGAAGAGCAATGCTTGCTATTTACCTTGACTTTAGGGAGGCCTTCAACATGGACTCCCACAGTGCCCTTACAGTCAGTTTGGAGAAATATGCAGTGGAAAAATGTACAAGGTAGATGGATGGGCTGTGCAGTAACATGGGTGTTGATCAGCAGTTCTAAGTTCACATAAAAAGGTGGCTGGTTACTACTGGTGTTCCTCAGAGACCCATACAGAGGCCAAAACTCTTACTGTCCTTATTAATGGTCTAGACAAGGTAACAGAGTGCACTCTCAGCACATTTAGGAATGATACCTTTGGGGGACATGGATGTCTATAGTCTGGAAGATAAAACTGCCATTCAGAGGGGCCTTTGTTGGTTTTTTTTTAACATTGTTTTGTTTCTTAAGCCTAGGACTTTTTACACAAAAGCATGAAGGTTGTAAAGAAATTCTCTAAAGCAAAAGCATTACAGAATGAAAACTAAGAAAATTTCATTTGGTCCTTATTCAGCCATAGCAAAATTAACTTTTTTGGACACTCAGTTCACATTTCTTGTTTGCTGGGTGGTGAACTTGAGATATGTGGAATCTGGTATCTAGAATGATCCTGAGCATGGTGACATTAATTGTGAACCTAATTGAATATAGTTGTGGTTTAAATGCATAGTGCTAAATATTCACCAAATAACCTCTGGGTATCTTACACTGGGCATTCTAAATTCATAGATATGTTTAATAAATTTTGTTTTGACAAAATTGTTTAATTTTCTCATCCATATAATGGACATCATGCCTTCTTTCCAATAAGCACCTTAATGTTTGTACACAGCTCAGGTACGGTAAACAAGAGTAACCCAGAAAAGCATATGAAAATAATTTTTTTTTTGTGTTAAGTAATGGGATGAGGACAGGCATTGAGAGCACGTAGTAAGATCTAGTGTTAATTCTAAACATTAAATAATACCCAACTTTATCATGCATAATACCCATTTTATCCATTAGAGAGATTGCCCAGGGTGACTGAAAACACTGAAATTAAAAGACTGTAACCAAGATCCACTAAGGAATGCAAGCCTGTAAGTCTCAAGCAGATGATCCTGAAAACTACTCACGCAGTTCCTGTGTAGGCACCTTGTAATTTTACTTTGCTCCCCTATGAAATGCACCCCTGGAGAAACAGCTCTGGGTATGCCTAAGTCTGGGAACAGTCTGGGAAGAGCTAAGCAGTTTAGCATTTATTTTTTGCTTACGCCTAGCTGAGTAAACAAGAGGCTTTTCTACAGCAGAGATAACAGATGGCTTGGTACAGTATCACATACCAAGCATCACGGGCCTAGGATCTCTACAAAATACAATTGCAGGGTTTCTCTCAAAAAGTGATGGTATAGATGTCCATATTTCATAGGACAGCATATTGTGGTGGGCCCATGTTCAGCTCTATCCTCAGCTGAAAAGATGTGGGCTCAAAGACAGATTCCCCTGCCACAGGGAGTGTCTCCCATCACTGACCATTTCACCCCAGTGAGACCATATTATCCTTTCTTCACTGCGCAAAAAAACCCCAACAGAGCATCAGGCCAGGAGCGTAGAAGGAACTGGAGTCTTCAGCCCACTGATGAGGGCACACACATAGAGACTGAACCTGATTACAACCCATTCTCCAAAGCTTTTTTTCCTGCTTTGCTGTGTAACTTTTTAAGGTAAACTACAGGGAGAATATTGAGACCTGACCAGGAGTCCAGTCTTCATCCCTTCAGGAAGAGAGTGCCCCAGCCACTAGCTCTTTGGTCCAGCATTTTCTGTATATCTTATTCTGCACACAGCAATAGCTTCAGCTAGAATGTAAGGTAATGGAAGAATGAAGACAATTCTCACCTCAGGAAAACCTGCAGGCTTGTGGTTTGATTGTTCCATTGAAAGGTAAGATGATAATCTCAAGAGGCTGGCAAGTCCTGTCGTCTGTATCCTACTTAACTTTTGAACTACCTGTTAAGGAAAGCCACTATCACTAACTTTGCTACACAGTTGGTGCTGTTAGGCAGTCCCTGGGAACACCTACCAGAGAGAAGCTGCGAGTGAGAGCATGAAGAATGTTTGTTTTGAGAGGCCTGGTAAGGCTCAGACATGATCAAAGCTGTACTAACTGCTCTGCAGTCTCAAGGCTGAGGTGTTTACAGGCATAACAAAAACAGACCTTTGGGGTACCACTTCATTATCTACACAGCACCATGAAGAGACAGGAGAACTAGCTTTGAATGCAAGGATAAGAAGAGTGCCTTCACCTTAGTTCAGTACTCTGCTCCTGCCAGTTGGCCTCCCAGGCACTGCTCAAGGACCCCGTGCTCCACAACACTGCCAGGCCCCAGCTCATGTTGCCCCTCCCCATCAGCCTGTGCTGTTACATGTGTGAGCCCCCCTGACAGCAGTACACAGCACTGACTTCAACAGCTCGAGTAGATTCTTCATCACCAGCGTTTGGAGGGCCTAAGGATCCTGCTGAAGGTTTTGAGGGTCATAAATGTGAGCCTCAACAAAGCTAACCCTTGAGGGAACCCTAAGAAGCCACCTCGCTTCTTAGTGATGTTTTGGTGTGACCTCGTGTTCCTTGAATTGCCTCTCTCCTCACCAGTTTTACATCCATGACAATACTGATTCCAGCTGTGTGATATTGGACATTTAATCCTAGAGAAAAATCAGTCACTTCTCCCTTGTGCTCTGCTCTACTAACACACCAAGAATTCTTAGACCAGAGATATTCAGAAACTGTACTCAGATTCTTCTGATCTTCAAATTCCTATTACCACTTGATGATTTATCTGTTTTAAAAACAATCACAAGGAATTCTGGCCCACTGATTCCGAGGGGAAATTGCATTTGCCTTGTTAACAAGGCAATGTAACAATAGTCAAAGTTAATAATTTAAAAAAACCCACATATACAACAGTTTTTTAAAATTATTTTTCAAGTGAAAATCAGTATTGTGTGTAAAGAAATAAAAAATCCAATGTAGGGCGTATCTCTCTTCCAGTATAGACAATAGTTTGTTTGGTTTGAAGCACTGCATTTTCTGAGGCATTTTGTTCAGTATAATGAATCTTGAAGACAAGTAGTATGTCCTGTCAACCTTCTGGTAATGAAATTAAGAAAAACAAAACAGGAAAATAGCAAAAAACCCCACCCCCAAAACCCTGACAAAAAAACCCCAAAAGAGTTCTCTAATAATTTGTTGAATTCAGAGGCACCTTATCCCCTTTTCTCACTTCTGTCTATATTTTCTAACTTAATTTCCTCTCCCCAGATGAATTTTTGTCATTTCAACTTCATAACAAAATATTTTTTCAATTGTTTGAAGTGACAGGACATAATACAAAAAAATAGTGCTCTGTTGATACAACTCAAAATGATGCTTCACTACTGCAGCCGGGTCAGTGGTAATTTACAGAAAGGTGTCCTCCAAAATTCCTTAGTGCTGACATGGAATGAATGTCTTCATTCATCACTCTCCACTGGAGAACTTGTTGGTTTACACAAATTAAAGCTACCTGTTGGGGGAGGGGGTGTTTGGTTTTTTGGTTTTAGTTGGTTGGTTGGTTTTAGTGGGGGCTTTTTGTTGGTTGTTTTGCTTTTAACCAAGCAGCTTCTTCCAAAAGATGGTTTCTTGGCAATGCTATGTAAGTTGTAAAATAAGAGTATCCCGGTTAAAATGTTATTTGCACAGAACAGAGTTCATAGCTAAAACAAGCAAAAGACCCTGGAATTCCTATGAAAAAATTAATCTAATACTATGCATGCATTTATTAGTTGGGCCTTCCATTGACGTTGTAATTGTACCTTGTCAGTGATCTCTACCAAGTCCACAATGTGTTTCTGGTGTATTTTATTGCTCCTCCCCTGCCTTAGGAACTTCTTGTATTTTTGTGTATCATTATTTTGTTCCTGTGAGTCCTTGGAAGAAAAGTATTTGAATAATATTAGGTGGTTTTCTTCCCTTTTGCTGGGAGGGAGAAAAGATAATGTGTTTTTTCCACATGTAAGAACTCGGTGATCCCAACAAAAACACCATTGCAAATTGGAACTACAAACAACACAGAACTCCCTGTGTGCTCTGCTAACAGCAGTGATGAAAATCTCTGCTAATGACTTTGAGAGACACCCTTGCAATCTCTGACATCTGAATCAGCTAGAGAGATAAAGTTACAGCAAGTCCTTGGTTAACATATTCTCAACAAAATCCTCCAAAATTCAATTACCATGGAAACTACTTATCCTTGAGGCACTAAGGATCGCTGAAATATTTTCTCCTGACAAAAATGGGAGTGAAAAATATCAGGTTGTGCATAATGAGGCCTTTGATCTTCCATTTACATCTGTGTTAAGTAGATGTAATCTCAATGAAGCAAGTTGAGTTGAAGAGTAATATTCATTTATAGGACAGAACAAGGTTTAAGACTTTGGCTAGTTCTGGTTATTTCTAGATGTTTTTCCATTATCTTCATATGTTTATGGTAACAGATTTCTTTTTCACTTTTCTAGTAAGAGAAACATAGTAAGGCAAAATAGTACTTGTATATAAAATTAGTAGATAACTTCAAGCTTTTAAAAATTCCTTGGGACAAATGGAAATAATCAGTCCCACTGAGGCTCAGAATTTTGTAGTCTGAGATTAAAAATGCCTCTAATTTAGCCCAGCCCCCCCCAAATCCCTGAGTACTCAATTTCTATAAAACAGAGTATGGTCTCTGCTGTGCACAAACATTTGCACACCTCTAAGCAGGACAATCAGCTCAGGAACAGAAAACCTCATTTCTAGCTTTATGTAAATTGAATCTCTAATTTGCAGTAGGAGTTCTTGTTTCATTTTAACATCAAGTTTCAACAGATTTTAATGGAATAAAAATAACTTTTGGGAACATTACCATCCAAATCCCTATGGTTCCTGTTAAGCAGATGCTCCCCACCACTTAAGTCACTGTGAGCAAAAGTCTGAATGTGGAATGTGTGCACAGGGTCAGGCACTGCTGGGCCACAATGTTACTGTCACGTAAACCCATCAATGTGTCATGTTTGCTCAAAGCTTCCCAGTTTGATAGTTAACCCTGATTATAAATTACATTGCAGCGATAATTCCTATTAAATACTTTGATCTTATCTCTGCGTTTTCTGCCTGCTGAGCAATGAGCCTGGCCCTGCAGGTCCCTGAAGGTCAGCAGGCTGTGCCACCCCGGCCCCTGGGCCCAGCCGTATCCACGGCACACCAAGCAACCATCACAGTGTGCCCTGGCAGCCAGGAGGGACAACCCTGTCCTGGGGGGCATCAGGCACAGCATCGTCAGCTGGTCGAGGGAGGGGATTGTCCTGCTCTGCTCTGCACTGGGCAGACCTCGCTTTGAGTACTGTGAGCAGTTCAGGGTGACACAATCACAGAACCATTGAATCATCAGGGTTGGAAGAGACCTTCAAGATCATCCAGTCCAACCATCC